CTACACATAAAACACAATTTGTAACATACGAAATTATTTGAGAACCAACACAGTAGCACCTCCTTGATCAAAAGATCCCGCTGCAAAGGAAAGGGAACCTGTTTTTCAAATTGTCCTCAGATGAAGCTCTGAGACTTTCTTCCCATAATGCAATTAGGGATCCTGTAAATGGAAACTTGTTGCCCTCAGCAAATGGTTTCTAAAATGCAGGCTAAAAGGTGTAGGATTTTAACATCTTCTCTGTTGCAACACAAAGACCTGGTATTTTGGATCAGTGTTTCTCAACCCGTGGGACGTGACCCAAAAGTGGGTCACAAGAATATATGAAAGGGTCATGAACAAACTTTAAAAATGGATTCTCCTTTAAGGAGAAAAATGAGGGGAATGTTAGTGGCAGCAGTGGCCAGGTCATGGAGCAGGGTAGAGCTGCAGCTGGCAGTAGGAGGTGGTGAGAGGAGTGTGCTTCCCCCGAACTCACTACTCCTCATGCTCCTGGCAGCACTGCTGGCATAGGGGTTCCAGTGGCAGTAGCAATGAGTGTCACCACTCTGCTCCACTCTTCTGGTCTGGGTCCTGCCCGCTGCGCCAGAGGCAGCTCCTGCCCATGCTGGTCTGGCCAGGTTGCAGCCCCGGCCTGCTGTGTGCACACAAATCTGGGAGGGTATGTGCCCCCCATGCCCCACACACTGGGGGGCTATGTCCTGGGGGTGGGGGGTGATGGTGCAGCAGATCAGGAGTGAGGGACACTGGCAGGAATGGGGGCTGTTTTCTACTTAAACTAGTTACTGAGTTGGGACTGGCCATCAATATTTACAAATTGGTCCTGGTACAAAAAGTGTTGAGAACCACTTTTAGATGACACAAACAGGGTACAACTGACACCTTATTAACAAAATATTTTATTAGAAATCTAGGAATGCCCATTTGTGGCATATTCTTTCAAGGAGTGCTAGGGATTTGAATAAAATGATGGGAAAACTGTTTCTAAAGAATTGTGTAAACCCACTTTTCCTTGGGCAAAAAGGATTTTTGAGCTATGAGGCTAACATTTTTTTCCACAACTGCAGAAGTATGATTCTTCTTTATAAAGGAATTGGCTTTGGAACCTCTCTTCAGAGATACTGGCAACTAGAAATACTAGCCACAGGCATATGTGAACTCTTCCACAACTCGTGGTGCTCCGGAGAAGTCCCTGAGGACTGGAAGAGGGCCAAAGCTGTGCCCATCCACAAGAAGGGCAGGAGGGAGGACCCGGGTAACTATAGGCCAATCAACCTAACTTCCATACTAGGGAAAAATCCCTAGAAAAGTTTATCAAGGAGTCTATCTGTAATAAGCTTGAAAAAGGTAAGATTCTGAATGACAGCCAGCATGGCTTCATTGCAGGCAGGTCTTGCCTTACCAACCTCATTTCCTTCTATGACCAGGTAACTGGACATGAGAGAGCAGGTCGACATTGTATACCTAGATGTGGCAGGGCACTGTTTGTGCCTGCCACTTTAAGGATCAGAAGACAGCAGCCAGCAGGTGCCTGATGAGGGCAGCCATTTTAGATTCAGGGCTGCCCATATAAACAGGGCATTTTGCTGCTGGCAGGCTAGGCAACAACATTGCCTGGCTGCAGGGCTGCTGGTATCATCTGGAGGTAAGGGAAGAGCTGTAGGGGATGGTTAGGAGGCTCCTGGTCCTGGGCATGACCTAAAACTGCACTCTGCTGGGAGTGGGTGGCCTGGTGGGGCTCTCAGTGGTGTGGGAGCTCCCAGGAAATGCCAGGCCAGTTACCACCCTGGTGAAAAGTGGGTTGGGGCACCTTAACACCTAGCCCCCCACAACTGGGTGGGTTATCCCCTTTGTAGGGTCTAGAAGGTGGACCCCAGAGAGAGAGAGAGTCAGGCCATAGACTCTTAACCTGTCTTGACATCCCCTGACTGGTCCAAGCTGGGGCCAGGACCTGAAGGGTCAAAGGGCCAGGGGCCCACTGCGAGGAACGCCCAAGAGCTGAGGGCCTGCAGTTCCAACTGGTCTGGAGGTGGGTCAGGGCCAGTAGAGCCGAAGGTCCAGGGGGGACCACACCCGTAAGGGGGAAGCAGCTCAGGGAGCTATGTAGCTGGGAATTAAGGCAGAATAGGCTACCTGAATGGAGGGATCTAAGTGGGGTCCAATTAGTAGGAATCTGGGGCCCAGTGTGGGGCCGGTGATATGGATAACATCTGGATGCCATCTGTGAGGCTTGGGCTGTGGTGTAGGGGAGGAATGGAGCCACAGATAGCACCCCCTGGCACTGGGGCAAGAAATGGGCAGCCTCCCGCTTAATCAACATCAATGAATCAATTAACAACAAGGCATGGCGGGGGAGAAGGCAGGCGGTTAGCCCAGAAACAGGTGGGTGCGCCACAGTGAGATCGGCCTGGAGCAGGCCCCCTGTTACACTAGACTTTCAAAAGGCCTTTGATCTAATATCCCACAATGTTGATGTGAGAAAATTGGAGGATTGTGGGCTTAACTCTGAGATGGTCAGGTGGGTGAGCAACTGGTTGCAGGATAGGACCAAGAGAATCATAGTGAACAGACTGTGTCATCCTGGCAAGAAGTGGGCAGCAGTGTCCTGCAGGGGTTGGTGCTCGGTTCAGTACTTCTCAACATCTTTATTAACAATTTGAATGTGGGGGTGAAGAGCTCACTGGCCAAGTTCGTGTATGACACCAAGTTATGGGGAAGTGTGGTCATGCTTGAAGATAGGCTATAGGTACAGATGGACCTAGATAGGCTAGCAAGTTAGGTGGATCGGAATCTGATAAAGTTCAACATTGAGAAATATAAAGTGCTCTACCTTGGGGCGAGCAACTCCCAACACACCTACAGGCTTGGCGGCACCAAATTGACTAGTACCATAAATGAAAGAGACCTGGGGGTAATAACAGACCACAGTATGAATATGAACTGGCAGTGTGATGCTGTAGCCAGTAGGGCAAATAATACTCTGGCATGCATCAATCGATGCATCTCCAGCAAAACCAAGGAGGTGATTCTTCCGTTCTACTTGGCACTGGTGAGACCGCAGCTGGAGTAGTGCATCCAGTTCTGGGCACCACACTTTAACAAGGACATGGACAAGTTTGAGAGAGTCCAAAGAAGAGTCACCCATATGATCAGAGTCTTACATGGCAAGCCATACGAGGAAAGGCTGAGGGATCTGGAACTCTTCAGCCTGAAGAAAAGAAGGCCGAGAGGGGACCTGGTAACAGCTTACTGCTACATTAAGGGAGTACATCAAGGGCTTGGTGAGCAACTGTTCACCAGGGCACCTGAGGGGAAAACCAGGAATAATGGCCACAAACTCCTGGAAGATCGATTTCAGGCTCAACATTAAGAAAAACTTCTTCACAGTCAGGGTGTCCAGACTGTGGAATAAGCTCCCTCCAGAGGTGGTGCAATCTTCAAAAGGAGACTAGACAGTCCCTTGCTGGGGTCACCTGACCCCCAGTTATCTTTCCTGCTTGGTGCACGGGGCTGGATCTGATGATCTTCCAAGGTCCCTTCCAGCCTTACAATCTATGAATCAATCTATGGATCTGACTAGTCCAATTAGTTTTGACACCTAATAATATTACTCCCCAAAAAACTGTTGTGTTAATTTCAATAAATAAATGGATGTAGTAACTGTCTGATAGTTAAATGTAGTTTTAGGGTTTGAAATACAGAGACCATATATGGCTTATTATTATTATTAATACTACTATCATTATTAAAAATCTTTTGAAGCTTTTAGTAAAGATATAGCAAAAGGAGAAACAGTTAAAGAATTTGAAAAGTTAAGGAAGGCTTTCATTTTAATAGCATTCCCTATTTCCTTTCCTTTGAAGATACCAATCTCTTCCTGCACTTGGTCTCGTCTAGCGGACTGGAAGCAGACCTGCCCATGCTGCTGCCGCTGTTGCCTGTGTCTCTTTGCTGGGCAAGGTCAAGGGCAGGTGAGCTCCATGCCTCACAACAGCCACTGCTTCGTGCTTCTGACCAGCTCCCGCTTTTCCTCAGCTGGACCCTCCCTCTGCCCTCCCCACCACGCCAGGCTCCCGACACCCTCCTGGGAGGAGCTCAGTAGAAACAGCCCTGGCCCCTGACTTTTTTCCCAGTTCTGGAATTTGGGATCATCCTGACATGGTCACTAAACAAATGCTAAGGTTTAGCAAAGAAATTTCTCTGAAGACACAAATGTTCTCTCTCTTACAGTTTTCAAGCTATTCACATTTAAAGAGCATTGCGGACAGACACACAGACAGATGGACTAAGCCCTTTACACACACACACACACACACACACACACACACACACACACACACACACACACACACACACACGCCTGTGTCTGAGCCTTCCACCTTGCAACATTCCCAAAGACAAATATAAACATGTCAGAAGTTTTAAGAATACATATTATTAACTTCTAAGTAACTATGAAAAGAAATAGCAATCATTTGATTGAGAACAGCAATGGTAAGATTCATCAGCAGGTGGAAAAAATCATTAGTAAGTATAAAAATTACAATCCCTTTATTGATATTTTTTCCATGTTAGCAAATGTGTAGTACAGTACACATCCCCAACAAGACAATCTGTTTTTAATTATTTCAAAAAATTCACATTGCAGGGCATACAATTCCAAAATCTAAAAGGACAAGCTAATGAAGGTGAACTTTGAAATTCTTCAAATAGGATTTACCAGTCTGTTAGTGTGGATAGGCAAATCTTCAAAAAGGAAGCTTACAAGAAGTAGAAACTTGGACAAACAACTAGGGACGACTACTAGAGTGTTGCTTGAGCATGCAGGCATAAAATCAGGAAGGCCAAAGCACAGTTGGACTTGCACCTAGCAAGGGACGTGAAAGGTGACAAGAAGAGTTTCTACAAGCATGTTAGCAACAAGAGGAAGCTTAGGGAAAGTGTGGGTCCCTTACTGAACAGAGAAGGCAACCTAGTAACACATTATGCAGAACAGGGTGAAGTACTCAATGCCTTTTTCATCTCAGTCCTTACAGGCAAGGTCAGCTCCTAGAGTATTGCACTTGGCAGCACAGTTTAGGAAGCAGGTAAGCAGCCAACAGTGGCAAAAGAACAAGTTAGGGACTATTTAGAAAAGTTGGATGTGTACAAGTCCATAGGGCCGGATGAAATGCACCCGAGGATACTAAGAGAGTTGGCTGATGTGATTGTAGAGCCACTGGTTATTATCTCTGAAAACTCATGGAGATTGAGAGAGATCCTGGATGACTGCAAAAGGGCAAATATAGCGCTCATCTTTAAGAAAGGGAGGAAAGAAGATCTGAGGAACTACACACTGGTCGGCCTCACCTCAGTCCCTGGATCATGGAGTAGGTCCTCAAGCAATCCATTTCTAAGCACTTGGAGGAAAAGAAAAATTATTAGAAAGAGCCAGCATGGATTCACCAAGGGCAAGTCATACCTGACCGACCTGATTGCCTTCTATGATGAGATGAGAGGAGGGTAGTAAAGCATGGTAACAGGTTACCCAGAGAGGTTGTGCGATCTCCATCCTTGGAGGTTTTTAAGACTTGGCTAGACAAAGCCCAACTATATCATCCTATATTGGCCGTGATGATATAGTTGGGGATGGCCCTGCTTTGAGCAGGGGATTGACCTCCTAAGGTCCCTCCCAACCCTAATTTTCTATGATTCTATAATATTATTTCCCTTGATACTAAACAGTTATAAATGTCATAATAATTTTGACGAGTAAGTGTAACCTACCTTTGTCATTCCTGAAATAATTAGATGGATTCCTTGTGGCATTTCACCTTCTTCACATATAACATCTCCATAATCATAGCAAAGAAGTCTTGCTTTTTTCTGAAAGTCACAACAATCGTAGTCATTGTAAGTTGAAATAAACCAGTATGGAATATATGGTGTGTAGCAGCACATGAAAGACTATACATTCAAACACTACGTAATCACTATCATATTAGGAGATAATAAATATTATGAGATATTTTAAGACTTCATATAATATGTTACTGAGTAGAAGCCTTCACCACTCAGAACAATCAATGCAAGTTAATATTGTACTAATAAGTATTATAATGCAATTACTTTCCTTTAAGGAAGCAGCAATGGCATAGGCCAAGACATGAAAAAAAATCCAAATCTGTTTGTGATTTATTTAAAAAAAGGTTATAAAATAATTTAACCTTAAATATGTAAGCTACCAACACTCACTCTCTTTTTTTTTTTTTTTTTTTGCGTAGACTTCATTGTACAGGGGAAGGCAGGCATGCTATGGAACCCATGTGCTATGAACCACAATTACTATAAGGTAAGCAATAATTCCACCTTTTTTGAATGACTTATTATATAGATTCTATTGCTGGTGATTAAAAAGAAACTGTTGGTTTACTGGAAGATGGACAGTAAGAATCCTACTTAAACAATGGATGCAAGACAAACCTACCAAAATGGGCATCCAATCTGGAATCCTTTGCCAAGGAGTAGTAGCTTGTAAAATAATGCACTGAGCTCAAACCTGATAAACCTGCTCTATAGATTTCAGAAATAGGCACATGCTTCATTCAGCAGAGACAGTCTCAGTTCTTGTGGAATGAACCCTGATGAGACTAAGTGGACCCACCTAGCTAATTTGCATCATGCTCCTACACGCACAGAAATCCATTTAAACAATCTCTGAGCAGATAAAGCCTGACCCTTAACCCTATCAGCAAAAGACTGTCCTGAATTATTTCATACTGTCAGAACAGCAGGAGGTTTTAAGGTTCCATGTAGATCCATCCCGGGTCTAGTGCTTTTAACATGTTTATTCACAATTTGGATGCTGGAATAGAGAATGCCTTGAGCAAATTTGCAGATAACATGAAACTGGAAAACACAGTGGAGGATTCTTGACAGACCGGAAAATAGGATTGGAGCCAACAGGATGAAGTTCAATGCAAACAAATGCAAGCTGTTAAACCCAGGGAAGAATAATCAAAAGCACATATACAAAAATAGGAGCTAACTGGTTGGGTGACAGCATTGCTGAGAAAAAATCTTGGGGTTTTGGTAGATCATAGATGCAACATGAGTCAGCAATGTGATATGGTCACAAAAGAAAAAAAAATGCTATTTTGGGCTGCCTCAACAAGAGTATTAATTTAATAAGATTATGGGACCACTCTACTCATTACTGGTTAAGCCTCATCTAGAATATTGTATGCAGTCCTGGGCTCCACATTTTAAGAAGTTAGAGAGGGGTCAGAGATGTGTGACAAGAATGATAGAGATGTGTAAGGAACGGTTGAGAGAACTAGTTATATTTAACTTGTCAGAAAGGCAATACAGAGGGCGCATGATAACAGTCTTCAATTACCTGTAAAATATGCCAGATAAAATGTGCTGACACATTGCTGTGCCTGTTCTTAAGTTAATTGTGGCTCATTTAACTTAACTCTGCTTCATTCCAGAGGCAAGCCTGTCAGGCTACATGCTCTCCCTGGCCGACTATTGGCAGAGGAGCAGCAATGCATGTTAGAAGGGCTACATGTGTAAAGGGCTGTGGCACTTCTACTTTGATCTGAGTCAAAACCTGGAACCATCAGGATCACCTCAAATGAGACATCTGTCTACAGCCTGAGAGATTTCTGGTGCATATTCCATACATATGGGTTGTATTCCAGTTTGAATTTTTTTCACAAGAAAAAGTAAAACAAAGCTGGACAAGTGAGAGTTAATTTGTTAATGTATGTGGATTGTCTGTTATTCATAGAAGAACTAAACTTACTTATTGGGAATTATTTTTTCTCAGAAAAAAAATAGTACAAATGTTTCCCAATTTCAGGTACGCACCTCCAAGGCACGAACCATTCAGAATGTTTCAGTCCCACAACTTAACTCTGGCTCATTCAGCTGCTTAAGCAGATGATGTACATGCTTTCCCAGCTGATAAGCTATAAAAGACAGAATATGCATCAACGCTCATCTTTTTGGAAGAAAGAAAACAGTGAGGAAGTTTTCCTTGAAGATTCACCCTAACCTCCCCTGCGGTTCAGTCAGTACAAATAAACAGCACCATGGAGAACCAACACTAGGGAAAACCAGTCATGTAAGGACAACATTGTGACGAGGGATGTTGCAGGAATTAAAGGTGATTATGCAAGGTCAGCATGGATATGTGCTGTACTAGAGGGACAAATGGATCAAGGATTTATGCAATATGAGAGGGGCTGTCATCATTATCTAACTGATGGCCCCCGTGTTCCCATCAGGGTTGCTGCTGCAAAGAATCTAATCCAGTCTATCAGAACAGGATTCACCTCTGATAAGCACAATAGGTAATGTGCAACTGTGGATTGTCTAAGTGCAGTGAAAGCTGGAGCCAATCTAGTAACAGAAAGTGCCAAATTATCTACTAAGGAGAAGTCCTGACACAAGGACATAAGGGGCATGTCTACATGTGCATTAATGTGCCGTAATTACGGCACATAAATGCGAGTACCTGTAAAAACAGCTACTAACTTAATGTGTGATAATTAGTACTACTGAGCCGTAGTGTATCTTTTTCATGACATTAATGTGCAGTAGACTAATTCTACTGCGCATTAGCACAGCTTTTGCCATTATGTGCTAATATGCAGTAGAATTTGTCCACTGCACTTTTAGCATTTCATGTAGATGTGCCCAGTGTCTCCCATGCCATTGACTTATTCCTATCAGTAGAACTGTAGCTTGTAAATTAGTTCAGGAGGAAGTGTTATAATTGACCTAGTTACCTCTGATATTACAACAGCTCCAATTAGGAGTGAGGTGAACTATTGAACTGGATCTGTTTATAATTATAACAATTAGATATGATTGTAATAATTTTGCTTAAGTAGAAACTAATTGCTTCACATAAATGAGAGATTTCAATTATACTGAATTCAAGGAAAGTTCAGAGTCTGTTTTACTTTGCTGGAGACTGAGCCTAAGATCATCCAAGTCAAAGGTTTAACCAGTGTGTTATTTCTTTAAAAAAACATTTTAAAATTAATTGCAAGTCCAATTAGCAAGTTTACTTGTAAATTCTCAAAAAAATTAATTCAGTATTCAAAGAATAAATACTTTAAAATTTGGTCAGGATACGATGAATTCTTCATACATAACAGTAGTTTAATTCTTTCAAGGGAAGAACTCAACTGAGCCTTCATTGTGAAGTCAAGACTAACACCACTATAATACTTTTCTTTGGAAAATAGAACATAATATATAAATCAAAACCAACTAAAAAAGTTAAATATTACCTGAATGAATTCAATTTGTTTCTTTTCATTTTCTAACCAACTGATATTTCGTAGAAGTTCCTCTGCAGTGGGTGGTGCAATAGTAGATGGAAGAGTTCCCAGTTGTTTTTTTTTAATGAGAATCATCTGCTCATGAAGAAAAAAAACCACTTTTGTGCATTCAAAATGTATTGAATTCTATTGTGCAGATAAGCTCTTTACATGGATTATTTCCACTGAACCTCTTATTTTGAAAATGTTCTTCCCCCATATTTCTGTAAGTCTTAATGTCACCTCTGTACTAGCACAAACATATTTTACCATTGTGCTGTACTTAGATGCCAATGCTTCAGATATATATACATGCTTAGCGTTATCCACTGTGAGAAGTTCAACTGACTTCAATGAAGCTACTCAAAACACACACTTATTTTTTGTGGAGTGATAGACCAGTTTGGGCCTGATGGAAAGCAACTGATATTTTTCACCACTTCAGCATTTAAGAGGACTGGCTGATAGTGTGGGGACAGAATAAAGGGAACAACGACTTAAATCACTACAGAACATATCTGATGCAAAATCTGCCAGAAATGTTTTTTCTAAGTGTAGACTGGAGTGTGTATACACCCATTAATCAGTGCATACACAAATCATAGAGAGGTACTGCTAACAGTAGGCCAAAGAATGGAGCTAGGCATACCATAACCATATAGGTTGCACAAAAGTGTTGAAAAATTTTGCCTTTAAGACTTACAGCACTTACCCAGCACTTATGTACAAGCCATCTTTGGTACATTTGGTTTTGTTCTCAGACAAGGGAACTCCTACCCCACAACTCTTGCCCCATTCCTCACAGCCCAAGTTTCGAGCTACCCTACCTCCATTTCAGTGCCCCCCCTAGACAGCACCCAGGGCTCATGCCCTGCTTGCCCACCACTAATTATGTTACTCTTTCAAAATCACTCAGGATTTAATCCTGCTTCATCCAGGGTCAAAGTTGGGATGATTTAGCTCTCTCTTATCACTACAGGCTCATTCATGTATATGAAACAGTTACAGCATAACAGCTGCTGATTGCTCCTCAGCATCAGCTCCCCATCTCCTTTTGAAGCCACAACAAAAGTATATTTGTCCATACCTTTCATTGTGAATAATGAAGAATCCAAAATTATCTCTGGGCAAGTAAAGCTTGCTCTTTAACCCTACCTGCATGAGCTATGAATAACTTAGGGGATACTATAAAAGGACTGTTTCTGTCTGCATCAGAGATAAACCACCTAAGCAAATCTCCTGCATGAAAAATAGCTTCCCCTCTGGTTTGGAATGTAGCTTGGAAAAGACAAATAAGTGTGTAAAGTAAAAATTAGAGACCACTCATTGGAAATAAGCTTAAATGTGTATGGTTAAAAAGGACTTAAAGCTTAGGACTTCAAGGCTACCATGTGGAGTAGCCCTTCTACAGAGGATCTAGGCATCAATTTTAAAGAATCAGAAGAGTTAGAATCATAGAATCACAGAAAATTAGGGTTGCAAGGGCCCTCAGGAGGTCATCTAGTCCAAGCATCTGCTCAAAGTAGGACCATCTCCAACTGTATCATCTCAGCGAAGGCTTTGTCTAGTGTGGTTTTAAAAACCTTCAAGGATGGAGATTCTGCCCATTTCTCTGGTTAACCTGTTCCAGTGCTTTACAACCCTCCTAATGAGAAATGTTTTCCTAATATCTAATCTAAATTTCCCTTGCTGCGACTTGAGACTGTTGCTTCCTGTTCTGTTATCTGCTACCACTGAGAACAGTCTAGCTCAGTGTTTCCCAACCTTTTCCAACCCAAGGCACACTTACATTAATACAAATTTTCCACGGCACACCTGTCAAGGCATTCCCCATCCTCATACCTATTGTAACTTATTGCCATGGCAAAATTCTGTGGCACACCTGTTCATTTCTGATGGCACGCTTTTGTGCCACAGCACACTTACTGGGAAACACTGGTCTAGCTCCATCCTCTTTGGAACCACCCTTAGGTAGTTGAAAGCTGCTATTAAATCCTACTTTTGTTCCTGCACCCTCAGTAAGGTTTCTTCAAAGTATAGCCAGCTCTCTCGGACTCCTCTCCCCCTCAGACTGGTCTCCCAGGGGATCCTGCCCATGAGTTACCCAAGTCAAAAAATTTGCTTGGCTGAAGTCCAAGGTCCTTGCTCTGTTGCTCTCCACCCTTCCTTTTCTCAGGATCCTGAACTCAATCATCTTGTGGTTGCTGCTTCCCAAGTTGCCATCTACTACTACATTCCCCACCAATTCTTCCCTGTTTGTTAGCAGCAAGTTGAGAAGAGCACAGCCCCTAGATGGCTTCTCCAGCATTTGCACCAGGAAGTTGACCCCAACACTCTCCAAAAACTTCCTGGATTGCCTGTACACTGTTGTATTGCTCTCCCAGCAGATGTTAGGGTGATTGAAGTCCCCCATGAGATCAGGTAACTTGTGCTAGTTGTTTGAAGAAAGCCTCATCCACCACATCCTCCTGGTCTAGTGATCTATAGCAGACCCCCATCATGACATCAATCACCCTTGTTGCTCTCCCCCTGACTGTAACCCAGATTCTTTCAACAGGCTTATTGTCAGTTACATACTGGAGCACTAAGCAATCGTATTGCTCTTTTACATAAAGTGCAATTCCTCCTACTCTTCTCCCCTACCTGTCCTTCCTGAACAGTTTATACCCATCTATGACAGTGCTTCAATCATGTGAGCTCCCACCAAGTCTCTGTTATTCCAACCACATCATAGTTCAGTGGCTGTGCAAGGACTTACAATTCTTCCTGCTTGTTCCCCAGGCTCTGCACATTCATGTACAGATACCTGAGGTAACTAGCTGATTGCCCTACTTTCTCAGAAAGAATGAAAATGCCTCTCCTGTTGCCCCCTCCTACTTGCACTTCCTCCAAGTTACCCACTTCCTCACTTACCTCAGGGCTTTGGTCTTCCCCAAGCAAACCTAGTTTAAAGCCCTCCTCACTAGGTTAGCAAGCCTGTCTATGAAGATGCTCTTCCCTCCCTTGATCTGCTTAGGGTATCCCCTGGCAGGATCATTGGTGCCCACATGGATGGGCAGCACTGGGGTAGTAGTCAGAAGGCTAGATGATTCTCAGTAATCCCTCTGTGACATCTCAGATCTGGGCAAGCAGCAGACTTCCCGAGACAACAGGTTCAGCTGGCAGAAGGATGCCTTCATCTCCCGCAGAAGGGAGTCTCCAACCACCACCACCTGATGTTTCTTCTTGGTGGCAGTGGTCTCAATCCTTCCCACCTTGGGGAGGCCTGGTCTATCCTCCTCCACCAATGGAACATGTTTCTCCTCCTCTGTTGCTAAGGCTCCATATCTGTACTCCAGGCAAACTGATTCAGGTAGAGATGAAGATTTTTGCTTGCTGCCAGAGGTCACAAGCTTCCAGCTTCCACCTTCCTGGGAGTCCATGGCCTTTTCTTTCTCCAGCCCTACCTTTGGCAGTCCTTCCCCCACAGTCCTACAGGTCTCCCTCAGCATCGAATCAATGAAGTCCTCATGGCAGAAGATTTTTTGGAGCCTTGCTACCTCTTCCTGTACCTCTCTTGCCTGCTGCTTGAGGGACACCAGCAGGAGGCACTATTCACATCGTAGGCACTCTCCCACCTGGCCATCACTGGAAGGAACCTGCAAACCGCAGTTTCCATAATGCCAAACCAGGGCCTGGGTGGAAGCCTTGTCAGTGAGCAGTCCTGCTTGGACAGACACATCACAGGTGCAAGCAGGGGCAGCGGCAGTGGGTTTGGCATTGTGACATCCTCCAGCCATTTCCCTGGGTCTCAATCTGCTGCCCCTCTCTTGCTGCCCTTCTTCCAAGCAGACCTTCCCTAGCAAACTCATCTGTAAGCTCGCTGGTTTACTGTTCCTGGGCCCCAAAAAGTTCCTTTTACCTTAACTCCTCTCACCAAGCTTAAAGCTTCCCCATTCAAAGAGGGAAACAGCAAACTGACCTGCAACAAGAACAGTTGAACAAGAACAAGAAGGACCCTGACAACTAACA